TGCCTATAGCAGGGGTGGGAGGGAGGTGAAGAAGGCAACGAGGTAGCCTTCCACACTTGAGCTTAAACGGCCATGGATACGGCCCCATCCCTGTTCTGACGAACTTGTGAGCAGAGCCCTTACGAAAATCTACCCCAGCAGATTTCGGTTCCCGGCCGAGCGGGGCCGACGTACCATACAATTCTACCCCAGCAGATTTCGGTTCCCGGCCGCGCGGGGCCGGCGTAAATAGGCCCGAGAGGTTACCAAAGAGGGGTCCTTGAGAGGCTCTCTTGCAATGTGTGTTTTACACACTCAATGCTGTGCTCTGCTATGCTCAATCGTGCTTCACACGTCGTTCCTTTTATTCGGCCCACCGCCTCCGAGGTCGGTTGGCGACTGTGACCTCCACAGCTGCGCTGTTCCGTCCCAGAAATTTTGAATTCAGTTTTTGGGATTACATGTCGGCTTTTCTGTTGTGGACAATACATGACTCCCCAACGCGCTCGCGGGTGACCCGGCCGCCGTCGGCCTCCTTAAAGAGCTACAGAAATTTTGAATTCAGTTTTTGGGACTACATGTCGGCTTTTCTGTTGTGGACAATACAGGACTCCCCAACGCGCTCGCGGGTGACCCGGCCGCCGTCGGCCTGCTTAAAGAGCCACAAAAATTTTGAATTCAGTTTTTGGGATTACATGTCGGCTTTTCCATTGTGAACAATACAGGACTCCCCAACGCGCTCGCGGGTGACCCGGCCGCCGACGCCGTCGTCGCGCGCCCCCCGACCTAGAATCCGTCCCAAGCGGTTCCCGGGCCCCTTCCCGAAGTCAAGCCAGTTTTTGTCGCCGCGCCCCAGCCGCGGCGACGAGGGGGGCCCCCGAAGGCCAGAAAGCCTGGGTGCTCGAGGGGAAGGGGAGCGCACCACGACGAAGGCGGCGGCGGCGGCGACGACGACGGCGGCGGCGGCGACGGCGTCGTCGCCGTCGTCATGCGCCCCATGACCCAGAATCCGTCCCAAACGGGTCCCAGGACCCTTCCCAGAGTCAAAAGGCACCAGCCTCTGTCGCCGCGCCCGGCCGCGGCGACGAGGGGGGCCCCCCCAGGAAGCTGCGCGTGGGTTCGCCCGCCCGCCCTAGCCTCATGCCTGCAGCCGCGCACCCTACTCTCCGAAACCTGAAGCCCAACAACCGCCATACTCTCTCCTAGGAACATGCGAGGGCGATTCCTCGAGCGCCGCCATCATCAAGGGGCACGCGGTTGCTGGAGGCCGCACCTTGACATCGAAACCGAAGAACATGGAGGGTAGCCTCAATCAAGCGTGCATCCGCACGCCCTAAGCCCCGCAGCCCGAAGCCCACCAACGCCAAACAGTCCCCTAAGAACATGCGAGGGCGATTGCAATCGCACCACCATCATGAAGGGGCACGCGGTTGCTGAAGGCCGCACCGTGACTTCGGGACCGAAGAACATGGAGGGTCCCGCCCCCGCCGCGGACGCTCGTAGCCGAATCGTGAGCCCCGAACCCCAGCTTTGTCATAACGAAGGAACAACAAGGCAGGAGGGCGTATACACCGATCCTGGGCCCAGGGTGATCCTGGCCAGGATCGGTGTTGGTGTATAGTTGGTGCCTTCCTACCATCGGGCCGCCGGCCCCCGCGGCCTCGCGGCCCCTTCCCCCCCCCCCCCGGGGGGGCCTTCCCGTCGGCGGCATCCCCAGGGGCAGAGCCAGCGGGGCCTCGGGGGATAATTAATTAGGCTGAAGTCGGGCACGTCCCTCTACAGGAGGAATACTCGAAAAGAGTCAAGAACTAGTCAGGGGGCGATGGTTTGGGCATTTGTTTGCTATTTTTACGCATGATTTGAATCTGTTTTGTTCTTCGCCTAAGATCCGCCAGTAGGGGGACATGCCCGACCTAAGGGTAGGCTCGACATTTGAAATTCGAGGCTTTCAAGCGTATTCGTCGGTTCGTGGAGGTTGTCCAGCCTAAGGGATGTCCTCCAGCAGCTGCGCCTCGCCGAGGGCGTTCCGGGGGCTTCTCGGATCTTCCCGAGCGGCCGCCCAAGAGTGGATTTATGACCCGACCACCTGGACCAGTCAACGTCGGGGGAGGGATAAACCTGAGGAGGGGATGGGGCCCCTGCCCAGGAACGTGCAGGTCCGCCATCAGTGGACGATCGCCACTTTATCGGCGACGTACCGCCGATTCCAGCTCGATGCCTCCCGCCCTGTGCCGATCCCGCCCCATCGTTGCCGTCCCAAGCTGTTCTCTCTGACGGCCGGGCGGCTGTTTTGCGATCCCTTGGCGCGTGCTCGGTCACTGCTCTCGTGGTCCTGTTTCGACTGCGCATCGCCTGTCCTGGTCCTGCAGTGGAGGCCCATGATGAGAAGCACCTTGCTGGCCTTCAGGGTGCCACGGGCTTCTATGGGTGTCGATGTCGGGAGCCTTCAGACGGGGGTCAATGCAAACGGGTCGTTGCCCATCCGCCCGCCCACCCTCCCTGGGCAGCGGCAGAAAAGCCGTGCGTGCTGGGCTGGGCGGCTGCCGGTGCTCGCAGGGGCCCTGCCGGAGCTCGCAGGCTGTGCGCGGGTGCTCCGCAGGCTCTGCGCAGGTGCTCCACTCCGCCAAGGCGTTACCGTTGCCTGATGGGCCGATTCTCTACCGCCACGTCCCACAGGCAGGAGGGGGGGAGGACGAGAAGGAGGAGGGGGAGGAGGAGGAGGAGGAGGCCCTCCCCGCCCTCCCCCCTTCTCCGTGCTGCCGATGGTAGCGGTGGTGGACAACAGGCCCACCTTTCGCCCAGACCCCCGGCCGCCCGCCCGCACCCCCCCCCCACCCTCCCGCGGGTGGCGGCCGCGCTGCGCGCGGGGAGGAAGCGCAGGCAGCCTCCCCCGGGAGCCCCGGGAGGGCGCTCGGGGGCCCGAGCGCGGCGCGGCGCGGCGCGGCCCGGCCCTGTGGTCTCCAGCGGTGGCGCACCGTCCCGGCTCGCCGTAGGGGCCCACCCACCGCCAAGGATCGGGATCGGAAAAGAGGGGGGGCGGATGACTAGGGGGGGGGGTGGATCTCATGGCGGGGGGCATGGGATCTCCGCAGGTGTCATGGCGCCTCTTCTTCTCTTATGACGTCCCTGGTCCCACCGCTGGGCTGCGCGCGTGCCGCCGGTCATGATTCGCGCCCCCCCCCCCCCCCCTTGGACACCCCCCTCTTGGCCGCTCCCGAAAAGAATGTTCCAAGAACCTTTTTGTGGTCGATGCTGAGACTGTCTCGTTTTAACACATCAGGTTGATGCTCTAAGAGCACTGCTTTGGTTGCTGGAGCATTTGGGAGTTCTGAGGGCATGCTGTGGCAGGCCTAATTACAGGAATGCCGGCACTGTCGGTCCCTGCTCAATTTTCGGGTGTCGCCAGAAGCACCCCTGGCCCAAGGTGCACCCAGGATTTCCAAGGAGACCCCCCACGGCCCCTTTGAGCACCCCTCGCGAGGTCCAGAGGGCCCCAGGGGCTCCCGAGTAGGGCGACAAGCTGGGGGGCACCTTGGGCCAGGGGCGCACCCTTGGCAGCCCCCGACGTTTCCTGGGCGTGGCTTCCTCCGCCCCGGACCTTTTTTGTTGATGGCCCTCGGGGCCCAGCGCCAGGGGCCCCCGAGGTCGAGATCGAAGGAAATCCAGTTGGACTCAAGAGCTGTCATCAGAGATTTAGGCCTGCTGCTTGGCGAGGTCGCGGAGGGGGGCAGACGGGGCCAGAGCACACATGGGGTCGGAGGATCGCGCTGCATCGTCGATGCATCGACGATGCGGCTCGATGTGGATCCCGAGTTTTTTCTGCACCGACGGCCGCTATGCGTGGGCGATGCATTGGCGATGCGGCGCGATCCTGTCCCAGTTGGGAGGCCTCTCTGCATCCAGACCCCCATACGTCACGATTTGTTCACAACGTGGACCCCAGGAGGTCTCGACAGGAGGTCTCGACCCCTTCCCCAGGACCAGTTCTTCACCCCGAGCAGTTTTGTTGACGGCCCCAGGGCCCGTCGAGGGCCCGCAGGGGTCGAATATCAGAAACAACTGCCCAGGAGCACGCGACCTCTGCCTTCGCGGCCTCGTTGCCCCGGGGAGGAGGAGGAGGAGGAGGAGGAGGAGGGGGAAGGAGGAGGAGCGAGGAGGAGGAGGAGGAGGAGGAGGAGGAGGAGGAGCGAGGAGGAGGAGGAGGAGGAGGAGGAGGAGGAGGAGGGGAAGGAGGAGGGGGAAGGAGGAGGGGGAAGGAGCAGGAGGAGCACGCGGCCTCGCTGCCCCGGCGCGCCCCGCCGTCGCCCGACCCGCCGCGTGCCCGCTCGTGGCCGCTGACTGACACATGTCCTCTGCACGGCGCGAGGGGGTCCGCCGGGGCGGCCAGAGGGGGCCACGCTCGGGCGGGACGAAAGGGGCGGCCGCGGGCGTTGGCCACTCGACAGAGGTCGCCTGTCCAGCAGCGGCTCCTGCCGCCTTCGGGCAGCACTTGTTGTTGGGCGTCGTGCCCATGTGGATCGTGCCCGTTCCTGGCGTCTAAAAGGGTGTGGTGTTCGCCCTCCCGGCCATATATATATATATATATATATATATATATATATTTCCCCAGAGGCAGTGCTACAGTGTCGGGCCGGGCGAAAGGGGGGGATTGAGGGGGTTACGAAATTTGCTGCATGCAGCAGGCTCCGGCCTCACCGAGGGGCCCATTCCTCGATACGTAGCCGCATCCGGCGCCGGGAGGCGCCAGGAAAATCGGCTATCTGAGCTGATTCTCAACCCCCCCCTTTGCTATCCCCCCTTTCGCCCGACCCGACACGATGAAGTCGGGCACGTCCCTCTACAAGAGGAATATGCAAACAAAGTCAAACATAATGTCTGGGGGGCGATGTCTCGATTCTATTGTTCGACCAGTTGTGAGCATGTTCTTTTTTATCTCTCCTCCAACATCTGCCTGCAGGGGGGCATGCCCGACCTACGGCCACGCGCGCCCCACGGCAGACGGGGCCCGGCGCTCTCCGCAGGCCCCGCTGGCAGGCGGCCGTCGGCTGCTGTACTCCGCGCCAGCTGGCGGTCGAAGGCGCGCACCCTCCGCTCCGAGGGCTGTGCTGCTCGCGCTGGAAGCCGTCAGGGGGCCCGAGGCGGCCCAGCACTGCTTCAGGGCTGGACCTGCACGCTCTTTTGCTGGACTTCGGCCGTGTTTGGTTTTCCGTTTCGGCGGGGGGGTACAGGGAAACAGGCAGAGCAACACGAAGCACACATCGACCACACAATGAAAAACAGCGTTCATGGCCAGCCCTGCGCTGCTTCCGGCCAGCGCAGAGGGCGGGCAGGTTCGACGCTCTGGATTCGGGAAGGTCCTTTGCCTTCGGGGGCGGCCGGGAAGGGGGTGATGACTAGGGGGGGATACGTACCTATCACGGCGTGGGCCACGATATCTCCTCAGATTTCATGGCGCTTGTTCTTATGTCAGTACGTCCCGGGCCGCCCCCTGGGCCGCGCAAGTGCCTCGGGCCATGATTTGCACCCCCCCCCCCTTAGACGCCCCCCTCCTTCCACGCCCCCGACAGAGGGCGGGCAGGTTCGAGGTTCTGGATTCGGGGAGGTCCTCTTGCCTGTGTCGGCCTCCAGATCCGCTCTCGGGCCCCCGCACGGTGCAAGAGGGACCCAGGGCACGAAAGTGCACCGGATGGACTTCGGAGGGGTCGGGGGGCCGATTTGGGGCTCATCCCCCCGCCGCTTGCAAGACTTCCTGGGTGCCCCAGCCAGCTCGGGCCCCCTGGCCGCCTCCAGCGGCTCGCCCGCGCGGGCCCCCGAGACCCCTATGCGAGTCGGTCGCGGATCCTTGGGAGCCCTGCGTGTCCTCGCAGGGCCGTCTCCAGAGTTCTGCTGTTCAGGAGGGGAAAAAACACACAGACAATGAATCGTCCACTCCCAGGAAAATATGGGAAAATGTGGGAAGTGGGGGGGAAGACAAAGACTCAACACATATGGGAAAATACGGGGATACTTTTATTTGTGTGTATTTATTTGTGTGTCCTGGGGCCCCTTTCAGTTGGTTGTTCCCATCGTGCGGAAGGACCACATCCCAGAAATAATTTCTAGCACCCAGACAGGTATCGGAGCAGTGTCGAACGAGTACCGCCTTCCAGGGCCCGGCACGTGAGAACCTTCCAGCTTCGGTATTTTCCTTGGTGCTCGAAATTCGTCCTGGCGGGCGAGGCTAAAGTTTGTTGGAACATCCTAACTTTAGAGTGCAGGCGGGTGCGCCAGCCTTTTGGTAATCGATCTGGCGTCGAGTAGCGTCGATTCGCACGAGCCAGCAGGATGGCAGATGGCCGGGGTTGGACAGAACCCCCACCCTGATTCGCCGATTAGTGAATTGTCCGTTTTCGACTCTTGAGAGGGCTCCGTGGACGTCATTTTCCAGGCTTTCGCCCGCCAGGTTTGGGCGTCAGGTCGTTTTCACTAGACCACGTTTTACTGGAGGGGGATATGTCCATCCCCGATATGGAAGACCCCATGAGTTGCCACCGAACATAAAAAGGCGAACGGTTCAAAGCAGTGCCCTTGAATTGCTTTCAGCGATAGCATCGTTCGGGGCAGTGTCCTGGCGCTGCCTGGAACGATGCGGAAATCTAACAAACTGGGGGCAAGGCTACAGCAGGAGTGCCTTCGGTGTGACCTTTTCTCAGGCGATCGCAAACATGGATCAACGGGGCGTAAATTGGAGACGGGTCCCGTTTCCATCGGAAATCGCAGGTTTCCGCCGCCGAATGAGGCGGCATTAGCCGCATTTGGGGGAGGGCACTTGACCCGATCCATGACTTTGGCGACCGCGCGCCAAATCCATGGATCGCTAATCCACGTTGACGCGCCCCCGACCTTCGACGACATCGCGGCCGCGCCTTCGCTCTGCTTCCGCTCGCTTGCATCAGGAAATGCATTGTCCTCCTCCTCTTTTGCCCTCTCCTCTTTCGTGCCCTCCTCCTGTTCAGAGGCAATGTTCGGAGCAATGTTAAATCCGGGTTTCGCAGCTCACCGAGTCGAATAGTGGCGACGACGACCGACAGCATGTCCTGCTTAATCCGCGCATGACTCGTGGCTGGTGCGGCCGCGGGCGTTGGCCACTCGACAGCAGTCGCCTGTCCAACGGCGGCTCCTGTCGCCTTCGGGCAGCATCTGTTGTTGCGCGTCGTGCCCATGTTGATCGTACCCGTTCTTGGCGTCTAAAGGGGTGTGGTGTTCGCCCTCCCAGCCATATACAGTCGGGGCCCTGAAGAAGGAACCCTTTTCGTTGGGGAGGGGCTCGGTGCTCCTTGATGGTTCTACAGTTGGCCTTCTGTTTTCCTGAGGTTTCCCTGGGGAACTCGAAGTTCAACTTATGGGAGAAAGGGGCCCCGTTCCTTATCTAGGGTCCCTTAGGTCAACGCCCCGACTGTATTTCCCCAGAGCCAGTGCTACAGTGGAAGCCCATGTCAAGAAACACCATGCTCGCATCCAAGGTGCTCACTCTGGAGAGCGTGACGTTCCCACACCAACAATCCATGGACGTCCTGGGGTTCCAGGGCTGTTTTTGTTTAATGGAAGGTTACTTCTGGTCGAGCTCTTACTGTAAGGGCACCGTTCGGTTCGGGATTCGAGGATCGAGGTCGCAGTTTTCTGGAGGTTCTTGGTCGTTGAGGGGCGCCCTGGTGGCCGCGCTGAATCCGCCTTGGAGTTTTGGGAAGAACGCACCCCAAGGGATGCAGGGGAGGTATGCCCAGGCGGTGTCGCGAAAGACTCACGAAGGATGGTTTGTGCCCGCTTTCGGCCATTAGGGGTCCTCATCAGGCCCCAGGACCGTTGGGGGAGGGGGGATCGCGTCAGAGGAGGAGGAGGAGGAAGAGCAGTAGAAAGAGGTAGCAATACCGTTGCCACTCCCTCGTCGCCACTGCTGGAGCCACGTCAATGGAGAGGTCCGGGGAGCATCGGTATCGGCAGATTCTTGCCCCTCTCATCATGAATAATGAGTGTGGGCATCAAGCGTGTGGCGTGCAAAGTGAAGTGAGGAAAACCACAATGTCACATATGTCACCCACTGCTTTCACTCACCGTCAGGATGCTGTGTGCTCATGCTTGGTAGGACAAGTTGGTTTTTTTCTAAACTTATTGCTTTTTGTCCGTCTCTGATGGCTGGTGGCCGTTCCATCTCGGGCACATCGTTCCTTCAAAAGTCCCTACCCATCCCAGGCCAACGAGACATTGGTGCGATGGGACGACGCGATATGTGCGAGGGTGGCTGAGCCACAAGAAATATGATAGTATGGGTGCAGGCACGTACTGACCGCATGTGGAGAGGGAGGTGGGGAGGTTGAAGATGCTGCGCCCCAGAGAAGGCCGGGCTAAGGCGCCCCAGAAAGCAGGGGATGGGTGCCAAGACTGGCAGAAGATGTGGTGTCGGCCGAGTGTTTCTGCAGCGTGAGAGCCGTGAGCCGTTTCCAATCGCTTTTCGTTTTTCAGTGACGCACTGAGCATAGCGCAGTCCAAACAAGTAATCATCTTGGGAGGTGGCAGGGAAAGGTTTGGCGGCTAACGCAGGCGAGCGGGGCAAAGGGGGCGAGGCCCACCTTCCTGGCCACGACCACAACAGCGAAAGGGCCCTCCATGCGATCGGGCATCGCGAACAACATTGCAACTCTGCAGCGACTAGTGATCACGTCTGCAGCCCCAGACTTCTCGTAGGTCGTCGGCCCTCTTCTGGCAATGATCGACTCGCGAGGGCCCCAGGGCTCGGCACAAGTCAGGATTTTCTTGGGCCCTGGAAACGACAGGGTCGTTTTTTTACCGGTTCCGTTTTGCCGTTTGTTTGCCGGTTCCGACGCTGTTTTTTTACCGGTTCCGTCGCCGTTGTTTGACTGGTTCCGGTTCTGGTTCCAATCCTGGAGCCGTTGTTTTGCCGTTTCCGGTCGCCGTTTTTCTTGTTGTTTCCGTTTTCAAGGAGCATTTTTTTTGAAACCGTGAAAAAACGGCCCTGCCGTTTCTGGGGCCCACAAAGGCGTGGATTAGATTAGCGACGGGCCCCCTTTCCACGGGAAAGCGCGGACTCCAGCCGCCGAACGAGGCGGCACTGGCCGCCCTTTTTGGGGAGGGCACCTGCCCCGATCCAGGGACCTGGCCGCCGCGCGCCTGACCCGTGTTTGCGCGCCCCCGAGCAAGGCAGACGTGCCTGTGGTGGCTACAGTGCCGTTTTTCATACGTGCTCCGCGTGCGGATCACGTATCAAACATGCAGGGGTTTAGTTAGTAGCAACGATGAATTAATCATACATTAATCATGTATTAAAATCATTCATAGACTAATCATGAATTAATCATACATCAATTATTGTGTATCATCAGTTTTCTCAAAAGCAATCATGCATTATCTTTAACAACACTATGTTTTTGGGTCATATATATGAAAATATAAGAATAATAATAATGATAATACTAATAAAAATGATAATAATAATAATAATAATAAAAGAACACAAAAAATACTGCCCTGCCAGGGCCAGGGCCCCCGGGCTGGCCCGCCGTGCCCGCGCGCTGGCCCGAGGCGGCGCCGGGCGCGCTCGGCGGGCGGGCGCGCCCCGCCTGCCGGAGCTCGGCCTCGCGCGGGGAGGGGGAGAGGCCGACGGGGGGAGGCTGCTCAGGAGGAAGTCGGCTATGCCGAGCGAGCTGCGCACGGATACCGCGGGGCACAGAGGAGGACGGCCGCAGGGTCCTTGATGGCTCAGGGGATCCGTGGATCTGGCGCGCGGGCGCCGGATGCACGCATCGGGGAAGGAGGTCTTCCCGAAACATCAAGCCCCTGCCGCCTCATGAGGCGAGTCAGCTCAGAAGGAAGTCGGCTCCCGTAGAGGCCAGCGCCTTCTGCGAAGCAGCCTCCTTCCAAGAAGCAGGCTCCCTCTGAGAAGCAGGCTCCCTCTGAGGAGCAGGCTCCCTCTGAGAAGCAGTCTCCCTCTGAGAAGCAGCCTCCCTCTAACTCCCTCTAAGGAGCAGCCTGCTTCTGGGGAGCAGCTTCCCGCCCCCCTCTGCGCGCCGCCAGCGTGCGGAGGTGACTTCGTGGCCCTGGCGGGCGAGCGGGAGGTGCACGTGCTGTGTGCCAGGATGCCAGGTTTTGGGCGGCGGGGCCGGGCTCTGCTCCCTCCCCTGGTCTCCCTCTCTTTCGGGAGTTGTTCAAGGTGCCCCTGGCCCAAGGTGCACCCAGATTTCCGCTCCATTTGGGGCCTCGTGTTAGGTCGGGCATGTCCCCCTACAGGCTGGCGTTGGCCAAAAAGTTAAAACATGCAGACAACAAAAACAACAGATGTCAAACATATTCCGCAAAGTGGTCCCCAGATTTGTTTTGCATATTTTTGATCATTCCTCCTCTAGTGGGACACGCCCGACTTAAACTTCGCGAGGGGTGCTCTGGAGGCCCAGGGGGCCTCCTCGGGAATCCTGAGGGCACGTTGGATCAGGTGCATTTCTAGCAACACTCGACTCGTCCCTTCTCAGGCTGCCTCGCTTTGTGAAAACATGCGACGGGAGGTGTTCTGCTACTCTCGGCCTCCAGGCCTCCCAGATGGGGTCGGAGGCCTCCCAGATGGGGTCGGAGGATCGCGCCGCATCACCGATGCATCGCCGATGCGACTCGATGCTAAGCCTGGGTTTCTCCACGCCGAGGGCGCCGATACATCGCCGACGTCGCCGATGCATCGCAAGTGCATCGGCGGTGCATCGCCGATGCATCGCCGATGCATTGCCGGTGCATCTCCGATGCATCTCCGGTGCATCGTCGATGTGTCGGCGATGCGGCGCGATCTTCCGACCCCATCTACCCCGACCCCATCTAGGAGGCCTCCATCCCTGCCTTTGCCCCTCCTCGCACTCAGGAGGGGAAAGAACGCGCAAACACAACGACTAGTCGATTCCGAGGGAAGTGCGGGAAAACATGGGAAGTGGAGGGGAAGGTAGACATCCAGAATAGATGGAACGCATGGGAATCCGGGGATTTGTGTATATGCGTGCATGCTTCGCCCCATGCCGCCGGCCCCCTGTCTCGGATAATGGGAGATGCAAAAGCTAAATCATGAGGTCTGGGCGCCGCCGTGAAGCAGTGTCGGGGTTTGTTTTTCGACCCCTACCCTACAGATCTGCGTCACGGGTGCCACCGAATTTCAGAAATGTGGCAAATCCCTTGTGTTTGTGGACCCTGACCCTACGGATCTGCGTGAGGGTTGCCGCCGAATTTCAGAAATGTGGCGAATCCCCTGTGCTTTTGGACCCTGACCCCGCCGATCTGCGTGAGGGGTGTCAATTTTTACCCACCCCAGCAATTCAGAGCACACGCTCAGGGCGTGGTAAAAGTGTTCGTTTTGGGCCTCCCCCCTCGCGCGGTCCATCAACAAGGAACAGGAAGCAGCAAGAAGCAGAACTGTAACAGTGGAAACTGGAAGCTGCAACTGGTACAGGAAACTGCGAAGCTTCGGCCTACAGCCTGGTGGCCCCACAAGGGGGCCGGCGGATGCTTTTGTGTGTCCTGGGCGAGAAGGGATCAAGCGAAATTTGTTGTGTTCGCGCATTGCGTCAGAGCTGCCTGGCAGTTGCAGACCAGGACCTAGCCATGAAGCTCGCTCAATTTTAAGCTGTGCGCGCAGACTGCGGAAGAGGCTGCTGGATGAATTGTTCTCTCGCTCCTTCTCTCTGCCCCTCCAGCTCCAGACTGGATGGGAGGGTTTGAACCGGAGCCGCTCTCTTTCCCACTCTGTTTCGCTCCTCTGTTCTTTCCGTCTTCCCCACTCCTCCCTCCTCCGTCGTCTCCCTTCCTCCTCCTCCTCCTCCGCCCTCTGTGCTCCCTCGCTCATCCCCGCTCCTTTCCCCACATCGCCAGCAGTCGACGTCCTTGGCCGCTGTCGGACGACCAGGTAGTTCGCGTTTCTTTCTTCAGTTGGCCTCGGGAGGACGAGGAAGAGGAGGAGCATGAGTAGGAGCAGGAAGGAGGCAGGAGAGACTAGAGATGAAGGAAAAGGAAGGACGAGGGAGGATAGTTTAGAGATGAAAGCTAGCAGCCATCGCGTTGTATCTGACATGCTACCTCTCGCATCCATCTCTTCCCATTGCGCTGAGCGTGTCTCTCTGGAACTCGAAAGAGGACCCCATCGTGCTTCTGCGCAATCGGGACGGGAGTTGCGTACATTGGATGAGGAGGAGAAGGAGGAAGAGGAGGGTGCGTATGAGCAGGTGGTTGAGCAGGAGGGAGAGGAGGAGGATGAATGACCACGACGAGAACAAACAGCAGCAGAATCAGCAGCAACAGCAGCAGCAGCAGCGGAGGGGCAGATGGACGAGGGGGAGGTGGAGGACGGGTAATGAGGGGGGCGACAACGATGAAACAATGGTGCGGGCATAGAAACATGGCCTTCACCTTGGCGAGAGCTCCGTTCTGAATGACGAGAGCTGAGCGCCGATCACAAAATGAGGCAGGCCCACAATGCAGCGGGCGCACCTTTCTTAAAAACCGAGACCAATCGGATGGTACACATAGCCATCGGAACACAAACTGTCGAACTCCTGTTTGTGAAAATAGTACGCGGAGAGAGCCTAACATCTTTTGGACAGAGCCAGGGGGACGAGTCGAGTAGTATTCAACATGTGAAGTTGTAGAGGGGAGGGCGGTTAGAAGGGGGCAGGCATAATCATGCAGGAAAGGGGAGGAGAGAAGAGGAAGGACGGGTGGGAATGCCAGAGGAGGGAGGATGAGGAGGAGGATGAGGAGGAGGAGGAGGAGGAGGACGGGGAGGACGAGGAGAAGGAGGAGACGGACGAGGCAGGGGAAGATGAGAAGGATGGTGATGAATGGGATGTCGAGAAGGAGGGCAGGATGGTGAGGAGCGATGTGTGTCTTGAGGGAGGGATTGGCGGGGATGAGGAGTAGGAGGCGGATGAAACGGAAAACGAGGAAACGGAGGAGGGACGCGAGAGGGGTAGAGGGTGGACAATGGGGGTGTACAGCGCGTTGGTAATTCCCAGTCGCCAGAATTAAACATCGCATGGCATCTGTGTCAGGACGCAAACGTCAAGCATCGTCAGTGCTGAGCACTCCAGGCTTTTCTCGAAGCCGCCCCCCTCCCCCCATGCCACATCGCTCGACGGAGTGGCCCGCCCCCCCCACGCCCACGGAAACCCACCCCCCTCGAGCTATTCTCCCCCCTCCCCCACGTCCCGCGAAGGACAGCCTACTTCTGACTTCTGCACACCCACGCGATCCACCCACCCCACGCAGATTGAGCAGCCCAGAGTAGGGTTAAGTCGGGCACGTCCCTCTACTGGAGGAGTATTCGAACATGGTCACCAAATAATCAGGGGACGATTTCTCGATGATGTGTGACTGGTTTTGAGCATGGTCGTGCTATCTTTCAGTTTTCCTCCCACCCCTGTAGGAGGACATGCCCGACCTCAGAGTAGGGTCTTCTATTGACGAGTGCGCTTACCCATCCTCCGCTGACCGTCGAGCTGGGCCTCGGCACCGCGCCTGGTCCGAGAAAGGCGGCCGCCGAGCACGGCCCCCGCGCAGGGAGCTCGGCGATCTGTCGCCCAGCCCCCGCGGGATGAACTCTTTGGTCCGCGGGTCGAGAGCGGGCCTCTTCCGGTTAAGAGCTCGGCGGGGCGCGCAAAGCACGACTTGGGGAGACGGGGCGCGGGCGGGCCCCGCGGGATGAACAGGCACTGGGCGGTAGATCCCTTGCCAGAGCGCATGCGGGGCACGGACACGCTTGCCGGCGATCCTGGTATGGGATCCGCGGTCAGGCATCTCCACAGGGAGCACGTGCTGGGCAAGCGTCGCCAAACGCGGTCGCAGCAGGACGCAGATGTTGCGGAGATGGGGCGCGCAGGGAGGCACCCCCATCGTTCACCGTTGCTTGGCGCAGCGAACAGGAACGACTGCATGCAACCAAAGCCGATTCATGCGACTTGCACCTGAAATCGGCACCGATCCAGTTGGGGCGGCGAAGCGCACTATCAATGGGCTGCTTGGCGATACGTCGATTGGGCTCAACAAGAAGGGATATGCCTTCTAGTCTTATCTGCAAGTCTAGAGAAGACTGGGCAACTAAATCTTTTGGCGCACGCACAAGATAAGCTGTGACTTATGTGCAGAGCTCCGGGTAGGTCCACCAACCCGAAGCGCTCAACGGTAGCCGCAAGTTCTGCACGGATACTCCGAATTTCTTATTAATCAACCAGGGGGTGACAACGTGAAAACGCGGCACACCCACCCCCCCCCCCGGCACCACCCCCGCTCGCCATCGGCGAAGGGAACGACCTTCGAACCCCCCCTGGCAGCCCCGCGGACGCGCCGCGGCCAACCCCCCTGTGCCACTCCAAGGGGGGGCGATTGATTAAACGAGCCAGAGTACAGTTTGCTTGACATACTTGGTAAGAACTCATTTTGACCGCCCACTTCCATTGAAAGCCGGGCTCTCGAACCAATCTCACCAGGGGAAACGCGACACAGAGGAGGAGGAGGAGGAGGAGGAGGAGGAGCGGGAGGGGGGAGGGGAGGAGGAGGAGGAGGGGGAGGAGGAGGGATGATATTGTTGGGTGGTAGGGAGGCACATATACCTGACCTCGGCGCTCAGGAGAACGAGAGTCCCATGCTTGGGCGTATTGTCGCGACGTTTCTCCGCGGTCGTCGCGGGAATCTGCAGCCCGAGCGAAGCCGTGAGGCAGGGCTGATTGCGTCGACGGAGTTCGGAGGTCCCGCTCGTTCAAGCAGTGGCGGAGCGTCCCGGCTCGCCTATAGCCCCACCAAACAATGTTCTAAGAACCTGTTGTGGTATGCGCGGAATGTTCTTAGAACATTTCTTGTTGGGATTGTCTTGTTTTAACACATCGGGTTTATGTTCTCAGAACGTTGTTTTTGTTTTTTGAGCATTTTCTGGGTTCTAAGAACATTTCGTGGTAGGACTATAGGAATGCCGGGACGGTCGGTCCCTGCTCAATTCGTGCTGCTTACGTGTTTCTCACCTCCAGCGCGAGAAGAGAGGGAGGGCGCGGGCTGAGAGAGGCGGCGTGCGGGGCCTCCTCGCCCTTCTGCTACTAGTCCTCCCAATCTCTCTTCTATTGCTTGTCGGCCCCTTCCCGTGTGTGGTCCTCGATGGGAGCCTCCGATAGTCCAAGAGCTCCCTGCGGTTTGGGGGATATCGTCCAGATTTCGTCGGCTTTGGTCGACAACTGGATGCAGTCTGGGCGACACTTGCCAGTTGGAGAATGCCTGGACAAAATGGTGAAGAAGGGTTGGTCAACATCTGGACGCTTTCCCGTCGAAATCTGGCTTATGATCGGACCGCGGAGGTCCACAGAAGTTGTTCAGCCAGCCCCATCTCGTTCCTGGCACGCAGTCAGCAACGCCGACGACAGACGTCCACGTTGAAAGTGAGGCCGCCGAGGTTGTATCGTTCTTGATGGGCAGGATCGGCTCCCCTGGATGGAGTCGCCATCGGTCGACTAGGTGACGGAGCGGGAGTACATCCGCAGGAAATGCAGATCGGGAGTCGCAGCTGGTGCCAGCATAGACGGCTTCGGGCCAGTCAGTGGGCTTCGGCTCGTCGCCCTCTTCCTGTCTGCTGACGCAACAGTGTTGCCCATCCAAGCGTTCGGTGCTGCTGGAGATTCCAGACATCCGGTTTGTCGTTCAAAGCACGCAGTAATGACGGACGAATCTAGAGCAATGAAGGTCCAGATTATTTGGACAATTTCTAGCATGCTTTGGCTTCTGGTTCGCTGAAATAGAACACATCACATCAACCCACGCACTTACACACCTCTCTGCTTAACTGGTCGGTTGACGGACACCGAAATGCAGCAAAAGCGGCCCATCACAGCAGCGGCCGCACGATCTTCCCGGCCATCGTGCTCTGCAGTCCTCCCGCGCTCCTCGAGCTGAGCCCAAGGCCGCATCTTTTTTTCTCGCTGCAGTCACCAAGGGTTCGGCCCAGGTCAGGGTGGGGGGCTTGCCCTTGGGGACGAGTGGTGCGCCTCCTTGCCTCCCATCTAAACAACCTTTGAGAAACATGAACCATTGGCGGGCCGCGGGTTTCTTAGATCTGCGCTAGGGCCCCCTGGCGGCGCTTCTGGCGCCGCCGCTGGCGCGGTGCGCGCCAGGGAGGGGGGTCCAACGCAGATCGAAGAAACCTGCGCGGAACGTCAGAAGTTTATCTTTATGCCTGTCGCCGCTCCTCTGTCCCCAGCTCCGAAGATAGATTGCCCCCCCCATCCCGGACTCTCTTGGCGTGACACGGGTGCCAGGTTTTTTGAATTCGTAAAAAAAAACCGGATATTACTCAAGACCGGGTTTTCACAGACACGATGCTTAGTTCTATATGTGCCAGCCTCCATGCAGCCGCGGAGTCACGGGGGGGGGTTCTCGCCAGAGTCTTGTTCCCTGCTCCGCAGCCTTTTCCAGGGTTCCGCCTGAGTCCGCCAGAGGACGATAACGTTACTGAACTTCGCTTGGCGCTCGAGAAAAGTTCTATTCGGAGACTACAGCGGCTGCGGCTGGTGCAGTCTGCGATCTGCGCCGCTGCGGCTCAGGGGGCGCCGCGTCTGCGCCGAAGGCCCGGCGAGCGCCCGTTTGAGCCCTCCGCCCGCCTCCGAGGGGGCGCGGGCCGCGGGGCCCTCGCCCGCTTCCCCGGGGGCGCGGGCTGCTATAGCCGCACCCGTTGCAAGCAGCACGCTTTGGAGTCGTTTCTTTTTGTTGTGCCTGCACTGCTTCAGGGGAGCGTCTGGAACCAGAGATTCGGGGGAGAAAAAGATACGGATACGTGTTGTCCCCCCTCGTTTTCGGCCTTTCCTGGTCCTCCTGGGGAATCCTCGTTGTCACCGCTGGATTCGCCTCGAAATTCTGGTCAGAACGCACCCCAAGAGAGGTCTGGGGACAACACGTATGCGTATCTTTCCGCCCCCCAACGTCTGGAACCAGAGATGCGTCAAGGAAAAGTCAGCCAGCACGGTTGGGCGACGCATGCGTGTGAGAACGTGCCACCTGCAGCCACGACGGCTCGGCATAACCTGTCAGAGGGGCGCCTACTCGTTCAGGCATAACCTGGCAGAGAGGCGCCTACTCGCCTGTCCTCCCTCCCCCTCCCTCCGCCCACCTCCTTCCCTGTTGGAACAAGATCGCAGCGGGAGGCTAGTGGCCGATCTCGGCCTCTGGGAGCCTGGTGCGGCTGGTCCGATTAATTCGGTCGGCCTGTGGGCTTGCGCGCGAAGGCTTTCTACATGTTAGGTCTGTGCTGCATTTTACTTTTAGACACGAAGAAGACATATGTGGATCACAGGGGTGGGTCTTAGCAAATATACGATAGACCGCGCTCGCGGGGCCCGACAGACTAGAAGGGGGGCCCCAGCTTGAAGCTACCCCCCTCCCCCCTTCCTCGCTTAAGGGGGGGGTGGGCCTCGGAAGCTCCCCCCCCCTCCCCCCCCTTTTCGTGGTCCGGAAGGGGGGGGGGGCTTCCAAGCTACCCCCCCCGTCCTCCCTTTAATTGAGCCGGGGTGAGTAACCCCCCCCCCTTTGAAAGGGGGGGGTGGCTTCGGAAGCTGCCCCCCCTCCCCCTCTTTTCATGGCCGGAAAGGGGGGGGGGCTTCCAAGCTACCCCCCTCTCCCTCCTTTGAATGGAGCTGGGGTGACCCCCCCCCGCCCCCCTTGAAAGAGGGGGGGGTGCTTTGGAAGCCCCCCCCCCTCCCTCCCTTGTGCAAAGGGGGGGGGGGGGCTTGAAGCCCCCCCCCCCCTTCCCCCCTTTGGCCGCCCAGCTCCCGGAGCCATCGCCATCCCTTTCGCCTCCATGTATTCCCGCCACTCTCTCTCCTCCTCTTCTTCCTTTTGCCTCCTCCTCTTCCTCGTCCTCCTCATCCTCCTCATAGTCATCATTGTCATCATCATCGTCATCATCATCACCATCATCATCATCATCATCATCATCATCATCATCATCATCATCATCATCATCATCATCATCATCGTAGTCCCCCGCGGGTCCCTGCGTTCCGTTCCTCCTCCTCCTCCTCCTCCTCGGTTTTCTCCTCTTCCTCCTCCATTTGTCCCTCCTCCTCCTCCTCCTCCTCCTCCTCATCATCATCATCATCATCATCAGAATCCTCTTCCTCCTCCTCCTCCTCGTTATCCTCCTCCTCAGTTTCCCCATCCTCCTCCTCCTCTCCTCCTCCTCCTCCTCTCTCCTCCTCCTCCTCCTCCTCCTCCTCCTCCTCCTCCTCCTCCTCCTCCTCCTCCTCCCCTCCTCCTCCTCCTCCTCCTCCTCCTCCTCCTCCTCCTCCTCCTCGTCCTCCTTCTCCGTCCTCCCTCATTCTTCCGCCTCCTTCTCCTCCTCCTCCTCCTCCTCCTCCTCCTCTCCGCCTCCCTCATCCTCCGCCTCCTCCTCCCCCAGCTGGCCGCCGTCTTACACGAACACTGCCAAACCCGACGGGCTGGCGTTCTCCGAATTACACTTCGTGCAACTTTCGGGGGGGAATAGTATTTTTCCCCACCCTCATTGGTTGGGTATTCGTTTTGAATAGAGCAGTGTGGTCTCCACTTCCTCCTTCCCGTCCCGTCTCCCTCTTGCCTCCTCCTGTCTTGCCTGCGGGGGGCTGCGATCTGTGAAACTGTCGCCACTTTCGAGGCTTGCTGGGGGGCCCAGCACAGTGACGCCACGGGCGGACCCAAATTAGACCTCGCCATCCCTGGGGGGCTGCGATCTGTGAAACTGTCGCCACTTTCGAGGCCTGCTGGGGGGCCCAGCACAGTGACGCCACGGGCGGACCCAAATTAGACCTCGCCATCCCTGGGGGGCTGCGATCTGTGAAACTGTCGCCACTTTCGAGGCCTGCTGGGGGGCCCAGCACAGTGACGCCACGGCGGACCCAAATTAGACCTCGCCATCCCTGGGGGGCTGCGATCTGTGAAACTGTCGCCACTTTCGAGGCCTGCTGGGGGGCCCAGCACAGTGACGCCACGGGCGGACCCAAATTAGACCTCGCCATCCCTGGGGGGCTGCGATCTGTGAAACTGTCGCCACTTTCGAGGCCTGCTGGGGGGCCCAGCACAGTGACGCCACGGGCGGACCCAAATTAGACCTCGCCATCCCTGGGGGGCTGCGATCTGTGAAACTGTCGCCACTTTCGAGGCCTGCTGGGGGGCCCAGCACAGTGACGCCACGGGCGGACCCAAATTAGACCTCGCCATCCCTGGGGGGTTGCGATCTGAGATCCCCGCTTTCGAAGTGGCTAGGGTTCTCATGGATTGCAACTAATCAGCTTTATCTAGTCCTTGTCCTGAAGCCAGTGTCCTGCGAGTCTGCCGAATTCCGTCTGCAGACATATGTAACCCTCGCTCCGTCATCGCCCCCCTTATAAAGTGTCCTAAACTATTTGCGCCCCGCGTTTGCGCAGGGGTTGGGTACGTCGCCAGGGTAATTTTTCGTTCCCGGGCGTTGGCACGGGACGAGTTGAATGATACACTTGCGTTGCAATCGATTGCAATCCATTGGATTGCAAACGATTCGATTGCAATCCATTGGATTGCAATCGATTGGATTGCAATCGGTTGAATTGCAATCGATTCAATCGATTGGATTGCAGGGGAGGGACAGGACGGAAGGGAGGGAGGGGAGGAGAGGGAGGGGAGGGAGGAGATGGAACGAAGGGTGGGGAGGGAGGGGAGGGAGCGGAGGGAGGTGGGGAGGGGGATTGCAGTGGAATGGAGTGCAATCGATTGCAAGCGATTCGATTGGGATTTTCGATCGTCGATCGTTGATCGTCGATCGTCCATCCTCGATCGTGGATTGTTCATTTTGGATCGTCGGCGAAAGGGAGGGCGGAGGCTCCGGGGGCTGGGCGGCCAAAGGGGGGAAGGGGGGGGGCTTCCAAGCCCCCCCCCCTTTGGCACGAAAGGGGGGGAGGGGGGGGGTAGCTTCCAGCAGGGCAGCGCCAAGGGAGGAGGGGGGTAGCTTAAGCACCCCCCCCCTTTGGAAAGGGGGGGAGGGGGGGGTAGCTTCCGGGGAGGGCCCAAGGGGGGAGGGGGGGGTAGTTGTAAGCCTCCCCCCCCTTGCAAACAAAAAGGGGGGAGGGGGGGGTGCTACCAACAAGGGCGGCTCAAGGGAGGGGGGGGTAGCGTAAGCCTAGCCCCCCCTCCCCTTTGCTCGGGCCCTGTGGGCGCGCTCTCTCATATATACATATATGTATATGTATATGTATGTATGTATATATATATATATATATGTACACACGTATATCGGAATAGGCCGCGGGCGCCCCCGGGACCGCGGCCACGGGTGCACATGACCGCTCCGTGGCCGACGGGGCTCTGCGACGGCCCCAGGGGCGCCCAAGTCGGCTTCAGAGTCTTCAGAGATGGCCCCAAGATGGGTTCAAAAGAGAGATGCCCCAAGAACGCCCCCAAAGGCTGCCACGAGGCTGCAAGAGGATCCCAAGAGGCCCCCACGACGCCCCAGAAAGTTCCAAAGAGGCCTCCAAGAGGCCAAACAACGGCCCCCCAAAGGCTCCCACGAGGCCTATTTTGATATCCCTCCTGACACTCTCATGGCTTTTGACCCACTGCCCAGGCACGGTGGCGAGATGGGTCCCAATCTCTTTCGCGCACCCCCTCCGCTAATTCTCACATCCCTTACCCTGGCATTCCCAATTCGTGCAGTTCTGTTGGTTTGTTACCTAATGTCTTCCACATCTCACTTCTAAGCTCCACCATAATTTCCAGATTTTCGAACGGTTTCATATGGCTGTCCTTCGGGCGTACAGAGTATTCCGGGAACGTTGCTGTCGCGCCAAAGTGACGAGGAGACCGAGGAGGAGGAGGGGGAGGGTCCGCGCCGTCCCACCACGCACTTCAATTCAGCGTTGCGTTGCCCTGGGACCCGTTCGCAGCGGAACCGGGGTCGGGCCCGCGGCCCATTTCCGAGTGGAGTCCCCGCATGTCATATGCAGAAGGAAGGAAGAAATAATGGAAAGAAGGAAGGAAAAAGGATGAGGGACCAAGCCAGGGCCGGACGCCCTCCCAGATTTTCCGTCGTTTTGGCCCACTACATTTCCCAACCCTTCCGGAGGGCCGTCCCCCCGCCGTTCAAACAATTCCGGGGGGCTCCAAGAAACGGACAGAGTAGCCTGACAGGGCCGGAGCGGGCTGGAGACGCCCGAATAAGACGGTTCAAGACGTCCCGAAAACGTCCCAAGAACGGTCCGAAACGCGCTCCGAGAGGGCCCCAGGAGGCCAACATGGCTCTGTCCCATAAGCAACCAAGTTGTTCGGCGACGGGCCCATTCTTGTGCAGTCATGTGTAACGCATAGCGCGGGTTTCTCTTTATACAGTATGCGCCGCGGGGCAATGCGGAAAAATGGTTGTTGCGGAGCACGCATGCACGGGCGCGCTGAAATCATTGTGGGACACGATTCGCGTGAAGGATGTGCCGAATAGTTCGGATGCCCCTGTGCGAACACGCCCACGAAGGCCGCAGCCGCAGGTGGATCTCTTCTGGGCACGACACGAGCGGGGCATGAACCGACATGTGCGGGGGGACGCCACGCGAAGCTGCCCATGGGCGCAACAAGTGGAGTTTCTTCTGGGGCATGACTCGCGTGACGGGTGTGCCGGCATGGGCGGGGGGGGCGCTGCACGAACCTTGTTTTTATTGGCCTTGATGTGGTGTTGCTTGTTGGTGCGATCCGCGTGATGGGGTGTGCCGCAATGACCACGGGGGAGGGGGGACACAGTGCGAACTCTGCTTGTGTGGCCCTATGTGGAGATCCTGTGTGCCACGATCCGCGTGAGAGGTGTGCCGAAGTAGGCTGGTGTGGGCGGGATGCGAACCTTGGTCTCTGGGGCTGTCCGTGGAACTTTTCGCGGGCTGCGATCCGTGTGAGAGGCGTGCCGAAGTGAGTTGGGCCTATGAAGCTTCCACCTGGTGCTACAAACGCTCGCACTGGCGGGGCACGATGCGCCTGAGGGGCGTGCCATTCTGCGAGCCCTGTCTTTGGGGACGCAGGTGGCGCTCCCTGCGGGGCGCGATCCCCGTCAGGGTTGTGGTGACAAGGGCGGCAGGGGGCGCTGAGCCCAGCCTGTCATTCGGGGCCCCAGGTGAAGAGCCCTGGGGGGCACGGTCCGGGTCATCCGATACGGGGCACCTTAGACTACGACTAGAGCGTGGTAGAACCTATACGCGCGAAGCGCGCTCGTGGTTCTAGAACATATATGAAAAAGGCATATGTATGTGTACAGGGCGTGTGAGAGAGGCAGAGAAAGAGAGATAGAGAGAGAGAGAGAAAACGAACAAGTATAGAAAACACAAGTAAAGGGAGAGAGAGAGAGAGACAGAGAGATAGAGAGATACCGTGTAGGTCGAAGGCAAGGGACAAGCAGGCGGACCTTGCATCACGACGCCGTCATCATGGAATCTCTGACCATCCCAGACTCGCATACGCAATGCTTGTATCCACATCTGTAGAGGGGAGTGTTTCTCATACGTGTTCGTTGCGCAGTAAGGGCCGATTATGACCTACGATTGCTGTGATCGGCTAGTTTCGCGAGCGGGGCAGGCGAGTCAGCAAGCTTACATGAGGGCCATGTCATGCACTGTCCGTTTGCATCATGGCATTCCGTCGCACGGCGCATTCCAGACCACCCTTTCATTCTAAGGAATCGGTTCGCTGCATCGTGGGGGCCTTCCTGGCTCGATGCATGCCAGAGGTTTCTCCTAGTGGTAGTGGACGTTTCGAGCGGCCACGTGCGGAGAAGTCGAGCGACCCGATTTTCAACTCGCTTTCTCATCCAGCCGGACGTGCCCGCTCGAGTGACCGGGGGAGGGAGGAACGGGCTGGGGACGAGGATGGGAAGACGGCTTCGACGGAATGGGGAGGTGAAGGTCACAAAATGAGCGGCCGCCAAGTGGACAGCTCGTGCTCATCTCAAAGGACGGGTCACTGCAAGCCTGGGACCTGCCCGCGGGCTTGCGGCGCGTGCAGTCCTCCGTCGGGTGGCGCTCAGAGACCGGGGGGAAACAGAAATAGAGTGAGAGAGACAGAGGAGGGTGTGTTCTCTACATGTGTACATGCATACATCCTTACATTCGTACAAACATGCATGCATGCAGGCATGCATGCATGCATGCATGCATACATAAATGCATGCATCCATATGGATACACTCACCTACCTACCTACCTACTTACACACATAAAGGCATACATAGATACCTGCATACCTACCTACCTACCTTCCTACCTACCTACCTACATACATGCATACAAACACACACACACATAAGCATATACATACGTGTATGTATGAATATATATATATATATATATATGTGTATACATACGTACGTCACGTACATACATTCATGCATGCATGCTGGCATGCATGCCTGCGGGTATGCTTGCATGCATGCGTACATCCTTACATACACACGTACATGCATACATACGTACATACATACATATACACACATTTACCTATCTACCTGCCAACTGACCTACCTACCGACCTGCTTGCGTGCTAGTCTGCCGGCCCGCCTACCTACCTATGTGCATGCATACATCCATACGTACATACACCCATGCACACATCCATACAGACCTACACACAACCATACATACATACATACATACATACATACATACAGACAGACAGACAGACAGACAGACAGACAGACAGACAGACATACATACATACATACAGACATACATACATACACCAGTACACACATATATCCATACATGCATACACACGTACCTACACACACTCACACACATTTCATGCATACATGCATGTCTTACGCATAGCGGTATACGCACATCCATACATGCATGCGCGCATGCATATATACACTCACACATACACAGACTTACATACATAAACAGCTATTCCTAACTGTGGATGTACATGGGCGCAACGACCCGTCATAAGGGGGAACAGGGGGGGGACGGTCAGGGCCCCGATACTGGTCCCGGATTGGTTCCAAACGCGCTCCAGCCCGGAAAAACGACCCAGGAGATTTTTCAGACGACCAGGATGGCTCCAAGACGGTCCGAGAAACATTTGAGATAGGGGGAGGGAGAGAGAGAGAGAGAGAGAGAGAGAAAGGGATTGCCCCTGCTGCAGGGCATCCTCATCCTTCCCGTCCGCGCTCTCCCTCGTCCGAGCAGCTCTGTTTGGCGCATTCTTGGAATACCAGTAGGGCGTGGCCAACCCGTCCGCAGGGCGGCCTCCCCTGTCGGCCCTGCTTTCTGGCCTCTGCTTCGCTTCGTTTGTTCGTGTGTTTCGACTTGCCCATGGCCCGGGAGAACAAGAAAGGGGAGACGTTGAAGAAAACACCCCTCAGAGAAGCCTCATGCAGTCGGACCGCATGACATGAAACACCTTAAGTTTCGTTAGGGTGCCTTTGGGTTTCTTTGGCTTGTGTTCGGCGTGGAGGTTCTGTAACGATCTCGCACAGTGGTTCTCTTGACTGTCGGTGCGTTGGGTTCCTTGGTGTCAAATTGGCCGTCTCAGGCGATCGGGAAACCACTCTGAGTAAGGGTACGTTGGGTTTCTGCGTTTGCGCCGAAGTGCCCTGGACTAAGAAACCTAGGCAGGGTTTAAGGTTGGGTTTCTTGCGGCGCATCTCTTGTGGAATTACCTTCACTGTAATGACTCCCCCTTCCATCTTGTCTCCCCTATCCCCTTCCCCCCCGCTGTAGTATCTCAAATGACTGTTCCTCCCCATATCTAATGATTTCGCCCAATCTGGACTCTGGACGTTCATCCTGTCCTGCTATAGTCCACAATATCGGCGTCCCTAGTAATGCTGTCAGATGCAAGGGGATGTAATAAAGCAAGAGGAAGAGGAAACGGAGGAGGAGGAGAAGGATGTTCAGGCTCAGGTGCGGACGAGGAGAACGATGATAATGAGGTTGATTGTGAGGGAGGCGATGACGAGTGAGGATGAGTATGTTTACGAGGAGGATGTGGAAGAGGAGACGGATGATGTGTGAGGGCGACTGGTAGGAGGATAGGGAGGAACAGGATGGTAGGATTATGTGTAGGAGGAGTGTGAAGATAATGATGATTGTAGTTGAGGGGGATGAACGCAGATCTGTAAATTGATCATTTGTGCTCGGCCGCATCCGATGGGGAGGGTCAGGGGGATTAGGTTTTAGACTCAAGATGCTGCGGCTCGAAGCATACATGAAGGGAGGCACTGGCGAGGAGCAGAAGGGGAAGGGGGGGGGATGAGGGACAGCTGGCTCGCGAGCCCTCACAAGGTTCGCAGACGGCACGCTGGAGCGCAGTTCAGCCCAAGAAAACACGGAGCGAACGGCGATGGCGATGCCCTCGCCGTCCTGGCCTGGTCGGCCAAAAGTCGAGGCTCACGTAACGGTGTCAGTGCTAATGGGGGTCAGCCAATCCCTTCTGGCTGACCCCGGTTTGGGAGCCACGTGGGCCCGACTCGTCTTCTTTCCCTCCGCTGACCAGGGTCTGGGAGCAACAAATTGGCCGGCCAGGCTTCGCGACAAGGCCCTGGTCGACCCGGGTTTGGCCTGACACGAGCCAGTGCGTCTCGGGTCGGGCGAAAGGAGGGGATTGGGAAAGGGGGGGTTACGAAATTTGCTGCATGCAGCTGGTTTCGGCCTCACAGAGGGGCCAATTCCTCGATACATGGCCGCTCCCGGCGCCGGGAGGCGCCGGGAAAATCAGCTACGTGAGCTGATTCTCAAACCCCCCCTTTGCTATCCCCCCCTTTCGCCCGACCCGAGCGTCCCTGGCAAAGCTGGGTGATGAGGGTCAACGGATTGGATCGGAGCAGAAGATCCGGGCCGCTCCCATGGTTCGAGCTGATGATGAGGGTCAACTGAGCTGACAGCGCGAGCCGCTCCCATCGTTCGAGCTGAAGATCCTAGCTGCATGTAAGACTGGCCCTTCGCCAGAGAGACCTCGGCTGCTCACTGGGGTCCCCCGATGGATGCATGCGGTGCGACAGCATGGGCTTGCACGCCTAGGTTTGCGCACTTCCTCGCGTCACTCTTGCCTGGAGTCACTTTCGCGTGAAGTCGAAAGATGAACGACGGAAGAAAACGGATGTCACTGCGCGGACATCCGCGCGTAAGTTTTCTGTGCGAGGTCGCGCGAAAGCGCCCTCGTTTCCAATTTTGCGTTCCGCGTTGGCGACCTGCGTGAGCCTCGGCGGAAGATTGTTCGGCCATCTCTCGAAAGGCCCTCTTCCGTTCGTCGCCAAGATGCTCTTTGTCACAGAGTTTTCCCGCTCCTGTCCACCGCGCTCCTGTCCGCAGCAGGCTCCGGCTCGTGTCCCCGCAAGTGGTCGCAGCGTGGACAGCCCGCAAGCCTGGACCTTTGCCTTGCCAGCATGTGCCCCCGATGGTTCCCGGGCGTGTTGCACTGCGCCCCGCAGGTCGCCCCCTGGGCGTGCAGGGGCAGCAGGAGACAGGTCGGCATGGAGTCCGTTTGTATCCCCAGGCGATAGCGGGCATGACCCTGGGGGGGGGAAGGAACGCTGGTCTCAGACGCATCCGGGACGAGGATGGAATCGGTGGAGGATGAATCTGGAATCTCTGAGATCCAGCGGCTCTGCAGGAGGACGTAATTATCGGGCGCCACGGCCTTGCAGAGCGAGCCGGAGCGCTCTGAGCTCGTTCCAGAACGGTCTGAAATGGAAATATCCCCATCATAGCCAGACCTCGGTGTTTTGGGGGGGGGGCCAAAACGAAATCACATGTTGATTTTCGTAAGCATTCTGCGATGTGGAAGCCGTTTCTAGCCAGGTCCAGCATCAGCAAGTAGGCGTGCATGTTGCCGTTCAGGTCGGGCACGCAGGCGATGTCCATACCAAGGCATTGGTTGAACTTGGTCCACTTCGGTAAGCTTGCGATTGGATGCGCTGGCGGTCGCTGCTGAGAGTCGCACAGCTCGCACTTGAATAGCTTCGCCGCCGAAGCCGCCGCCGGTGATCCACCGCCTGCTTGAATATGTCGGGCCAGATCTTCCACTCGTAGTGCATGTGAAAACTGAACGTGTAACTTCTTGATCGCCGCCTTGAGTGCTGCTGGTACTTGCTGCCATTGTTGGTAGGTCTCCGCGTCTGAGCCCATGATGAGGCCTGAGCTTGACGTGAAGCCTGTAGCGGGGCATGCGTCAGTGGCGCTTGGAACTCCCAGGATGATGTCGCCACCCAGAAGCTTCTCCAACTCGTACTGCTGCTTCGTGCCCTCGAGGATCCTTTCTGCCATGTCCAGGGTCCAGACCGCAAAATCACGAGACTTGCCGCCTCGGCCTTGAACTTCACCATGTCCGTGATCTCTTGTACACCGAACCTCCAGTGCATATGCCAATGCCACTGCTGTCGTCACAAACCTCGTTGGCTTTTGAAGCACATTTCCACGATCATCTCGTAGATCGAAAGCACATTGATCGCACCGAACCCATATCAACTCCAGTGGGAGCGCGTCATTGATGAGGTTCCACACTTGAGAGCACAGAGGTTTCTCCAGCAGAACATGTGGCCCATGTGCCAGTCGGTGCTTGACGATCTGTAGGACAAATCGCACTTGTGCGAGTGCTTTCGCGCGGCGTCTGCGCCGCTCCTTCTCCGGGTAGAAGTTGTTAATGGACGAGAGGCCGTCACGCGGGAAGGGCGCGATCGTGAGGTACGGGCCCTCCTCCTCGATCTCTCGCGTCGTAGTTGCTTGAACGCTTGGCAGTAGCAAGTCGTTGCCTGTGGTGCGTAAGTCCTTGCACTTGCCAGTCTTGCGCCCGCAGCTGTCCGCGAGATTCGTGACATTGCACTCTCCGCCGTACATCTCCTTCACCACCGCCCATGGAACAAACAGCCGATGTTGATCCTTGCGTAGTACGCTCCAGGTCGCCCGCTGCTCTCGCGCATGATCTGCGATCCAGGCGTCCACCTGCATCTTCCGGGACTTGGTCATGATGCGGGTGTCGTCCACCGTGGTCGTGATCTTCTCGATGGCTGCCGTCACATACTGCGACTTATCCTCCTCCTCGGCCGTCCATGCGTCCAGCGGCTTCGTGCTGATCGTCGGTGCCTCGATCTGCGGCGGCTCTTTCGGGAAATCGGTGATGTTGATCATCAGGTGGTTCACAGGTGGTTCATCCGCGAGCGCGTGATCTTCACGGGCTGGTCGGATATCTTCTTGAATATAACCTGGTTGCTCTTCACCTTGATGACTGCATCGAGGGCGTCCATCTGATCCAAGCTCATGAGCATGGGAGCGTCCGAGTCTGGTAGCCTCTCGAAGTTGAGCGTGCAGTCTCGTCCCTGGATGCCGCTCGGTACTGCCTGTGTACTTTCGGTTTTGATGGGCGCCGAAGCGTTGATGCCCTTGAAGATCGTCTGAGTGGGCGTCTGGATGTCAGCCGGATCGAACTTCTCAAGATGGCTGTCGATCGCTCGATCTCCGCCGCACGGTGCCAAGGTTGCCGTGTCTAAGACGATGCAGCCAGGAGGTGCCACCTGATCTGCCGCCATCGTGTCGATCATCTCCTCGTTGAGCTGGTTGATCGGGTTGATGGCCTCGTCGGTGTGGTTCTGCGTCGGCTCGATCATGTAGACCTCGGTGGGTCTGCCGACTCCTGTCGCCAGCATGGCTGCAGCCAGCCCGGCGCGTGCCAGAAAACCTCCAGCGCGTCCACCTTTGCCTCGTCCAGCTGCTGCCGCTCAAGCCTTAGGCCCGGTGGCCTTCTTGGTTTTGCTGCACTCTGGGTCTCCAGCCTAGTGTCCTCCTTCGCCGCGCGCTCCACGCTTGCTTACCTTCTGGAAAGCCCCCAGCTTTATCCTGGAGCTCCTTCGAGCCGAAGCTGATCTTCCTGTCGAAGTCGATGTAGGTTTTGCTCAGCCGAAACCCACGATTCGTTTTGCCGCCCTTCGTGAATTGGCGTTGCCGGGGGCAGTTGGAGCCCGTAGAGCTCGCATTGCCTTTTCCACGTCCACGTCCTTTTGCCGCGATAGCTCCACCAAGCCTTTGAGCCTCCGTCGCGAACGCCTGCGCCTCTTCCTCGCTGAGGTCGTTGACGTCCGCGATGGCCATGGCCCGCTCGAGCTCCTCCACTTCGGCGGACAAAACTTCCATCTCCTCTCCGTCCTCGTCTCCACCACTATCTTCTTCTCCCTCAGGGTCGCCCTCGTCGCCTTCGTCGTCCTCGGGGTCCGCGGGGAAGGCTGAGTTCCACCTGAACTTGCGCCCTCCATCTCGTCGTCCACCGTGTTGCCGCTGCTGCGATCCACGAGCGTCGATGCCGTCGAGGTGAATCTCGAGCACCTCTCAAATCGCGTCCCAATCGCACGGCCGGCACAAGGCTTAAGAACTTCGGTGGTTCGGGGAGGGTACCCTTATGTTCTTCGTTTTTGTTCCATGTTCTTGTGCACCCTGGGGGAGGGTATCCTCGATGTTCTTCAGTTTGGCGCCATTATTCCTTCGTTCTGACAAAGCTGGGGTTCGGGGCTCACGATTCGGCTACGAGCGTCCGCGGCGGGGGCGGGACCCTCCATGTTCTTCGGTCCCGAAGTCACGGTGCGGCCTTCAGCAACCGCGTGCCCCTTCATGATGGTGGTGCGATTGCAATCACCCTCGCATGTTCTTAGGGGACTGTTTGGCGTTGGTGGGCTTCGGGCTGCGGGGCTTAGGGCGTGCGGATGCAGGCTTGATTGAGGCTACGTACGCACGTAGGCCGCAGGGCTCGCGCGTCCGCGGCACGGGCAGGACCCTCCATGTTCTTCGGTTTCGATGTCAAGGTGCGGCCTCCAGCAACCGCGTGCCCCTTGATGATGGCGGCGCGAGTGCAATCACCCTCGCATGTTCTTAGGGGGGAACTTGGCGCCGGTGGGCTTCAGGTTTCGGAGAGTAGGGTGCGCGGCTGCAGGCATGAGGCTAGGGCGGGCGGGCGAAGCCAGGCGCAGCTTCCTGGGCTGCGGCAGGGCTGAGAGGTTGGATGTGCGGATGACGTTCAGGACGTAGCGCTGATGTCGGTCCTATGCCAAGGCCCATGGGGGTAGGCCGCAGGGCTCGCGCATCCGCGGCGCGGGCAGGACCCTCCATGCTCTTCGGTCTCGATGTCAAGGTGCGGCCATCCGCAACCGCGTCCCCCTGGATGATGGTGGCGCGAAAGGAATCGCCCTCGCATGTTCCTAGGAGAGAGTTTGGCGGTTGTTGGGCATCAGAGCGGGGTATGTGCGCGCGTGCGTGCGTGCGTGTGTGCGTGTGTGCGTGCGTCCTACCGAGGGCCACGCAAAACTTGACATGCGCGTCTGCGCTGCCGAAAGCGAGTTAAGAGGCCCGCGTTGTCAGCAATAGGAGAGTCGCCATGTTGGCTTGGAAAATCAAAGTGAACCTTCAGCGTCGCCAGTCAGATTTCCAAGTTAGCATGGGCTCTGGCGCATGTGTTCAGCAACGGCGCATGCAACCACTTCTCGCGCGCGCCTGCGCCGCCGCGCGCGCGGCGGCGCAGGGGCGTGGGGCGCTCAGTGTTATCAGCAGTAGAAGAAGCGCCATGTTGGCCTGGAGAATCAAAGTGGACCACTAGCGGTTGCCGATTGGATTTCCAAGTCAACATGGGTTCTGGTGTACGTGTCTTGCAACGGCGTATACAACAACCCCTCGCGCGCGCCCGCGCCGCCGCGCGCGCGGCGGCGCGCCGCGCGCGCGGCGGCGCGTGCGCGTGGGGCGCCCCGCGTTATCAGCAATAGAAAAGTTGCCATGTTGGCCTGGGAAATCAAAGTGAACCCTTAGTGGTTGCCGATTGGATTTCGAAGTTAACATGGGTTTTGGTGCATGTGTTCTACAACAGCGCAGACAAACACTCCTCGCGCGCGCCTGCGCCGCCGCGCGCGCGGCGGCGTGTGCGCGTGCGGAACTTCGCGTTATCGGCAATAGAAGAGTCGCCATGTTGGCCTGGAACATCAAAGTGAACCCTTAGCGGTTGCCACTTGGATTTCCATGTTAACATGGTTTCTGGTGCATGTCTTCTGCAACAGCGCGCGCAAAATTTCTCGCGCGTTCCTGCGCCGCCGCGCGCGCGGCGGCGCGCGCGCGAGAAACGCCGCAGCGCCAGCAATAGGACAGTTGCCGCGTTGACTGGGGAATTCAAAGGGAGCCCTTGGAAGTGGGCAGTTTGATTTCCAAGTTAACATGGGTTTTGGTGCATGTGTTCTGCAGCGGCGCATGCAAACACTTCTCGCGCGCGCCTGCGCCGCCGCGCGCGCGGCGGCGCAGGGGCGTGGGGCGCTCAGTGTTATCAGCAGTCGAAGAAGCGCCATGTTGGCCTGGAGAATCAAAGTGGACCACTAGCGGTTGCCGATTGGATTTCCAAGTCAACATGGGTTCTGGTGTACGTGTCTTGCAACGGCGTATACAACAACCCCTCGCGCGCGCCCGCGCCGCCGCGCG